ATTTTTCAATTTGAATGTTAAGGTAGAGAGTCATGGTTGTATATATCGTAAAATGCCGCTAGCTGGTCATGGATCGTCGCCGACACAAGATGAAACGGATCGGTTTGTACGGCTAGTGCAAGGATTTACGAAGGTAGTTTTGCATTGCTAGGAAGTTGTAGCGTTAGTTTTTTTTCCCATCCATGAATCAGTTAGATTTAAAGAAGGATCGAGATGTGCTATGAATTTATTGTTTTGTTTAGGACCATCCTGGAGAAATAGTTGGAGTTCACTGTACCCATGGCTTCAACCGAACGGGTTTTTTGATTGCAGCATACATGGTTGTTGCAAAGGTGGTCGCTCGACTGAATTTTCCTTTTTCCTTTTGACATTAGTGCTTTTTAGGATTGGGCCGTAGATTGCGCTGTGTTGACTTTTGCCAAAGAACGTCCATGCGGTATCTATAAGCAGGACTATTTGGGAGACCTGTTTGAGAGATATGGCGACCCAGATGATTGTCTTGAGGCTAGCCTTTCTCAAGCTTTAAGCAATTTTAAGCAATATGCTTGAATGGCGAAGTGGCTTAGGCTCCCAATAAGCCAGCATGGGAGTATGGGGACGCAGATGGGTACGATGATACCGGTGAAGCGTCTACTAGTGTTTCTGAGGGAAAGACCGAAAATGGAAAGCAGAACGGGGAAGGTAAGTTCTTACTATCCCCAATTTGCGGTAATGTTATTCACTGTCATTTTCTGTGATTCTCCAGGCAAACCGGGAAAGCCTGTAAAACAATTTATGGATGGCCTTGTACGTGATGTTGTTTTAGTCACTGATCCGTTGAAGAAAAAGATGTTGCAAGGAAAGGTAGCTCTAGCGCTTTTTGCGGCAGTAGCTGCGACGAGTTTTTTTCTTTTTTATAAAAATGAGAAATCTCAGATCAAAGAGCTGTGCGGAGCTAAACGAGATGGGTTTCCTGGTCTTCAGCCGGTTTCTCTTGAAAGATCACGTGAGGCTGATAATATGAAGCTTCTGGCTCAGCGACCTTACATGGTTTCATGGAAGGCGGATGGAATGAGGTGAGGGTAACGACTTTTCTATCTCAAGTTATATCTTTTTGATATGTTCATTATGCGCTCCGTTTTCTTGACCTAATGCTTTCGAGTTTGTGGGAAGTGGCTTTCTTTCTTTAGACTGAAGTTTCAAAAAATCTGCTAAATATTAACTTCATAATGAATTCCATTTATGATACCTTTATTTTACTGAAGCTTATACGGTATATTTGCCTCCGCATCCTTTATGTCTCCGTTGCAGGTACATGGTCTATATCTGTGATAAGAATGAAATATACGCATTTGATCGAGATAATGAGGTGGGTCAACTTGTATCTATGCCATTCATGAGCGATGATGCACGAAATGAGGAAATTTTCCAAGCTGTCCCACTCATTTTCTTTATCCTTCTCTTTCAAAATCCATGATTTGCTATAATTTACTGTCAACTTGACTTCCTCCTCGCTTTTACTACTTTTGTTCGAAGTTTTTCAAAATCGCTTTAGGTGTTTTTGATACAAGGTCTAACGTTCCCACACAGGAAACTACCAAGGCATATAGTAAACACGCTAGTTGATTCAGAAATGATAATTGATCACGTAAGTCATCTAGTCGTTGCTATTCACTAAACTTAATTCTCTTTTATGCTGGACTATTTAGGTCAAAGACGAGCATGGAAACATGAGAGACTTGCCACGATTGTTAATATACGATATCATTCACTTTGAGGTACTGAATAACTAAATCCCTTTCAGATATCATTGCTGAAGTTTTGCTGAGTTCTAATTTTTGAGTTTAGGACATACACGTTGGCAAAGAAAATTTCGACATTCGCTTCAAGTGCATTCGACGAGAACTCATCGAGCCGAGAAATGCAGCCATTATGGTGTATTGATTTGTTTTGCGTTAGCTATGTTGCTGTGTTCTCATGTAGATGTCGTAGAAACTTTCATGAGTCAAGCGTATTTATAGTTTCTAGGCAGGTCGCATTCGCAAAGAGAGGGAACCAATGTCAGTGCGCGTCAAGGATTTTTGGGAGTTGGAAGCTCTGCCAAAACTATTCGAGCCTAAATTTACAAAGAATGTTGGGCATGAAATTGACGGATTGATTTTGCAGCCTGTTGATGTGGTTGGTTTTGTTTATATACATATTGTTCGCTATGTGTTATCATATTGTCTCGTAATCTTCCAGTCAAGTATGGCATTCTTTTGGATATCTCTGCTTTTTTTT